CCCCAAAACCCCAAAACCCCAAAACCCCTCGATAATGAAGACTGAGTAATTTAGATTATGTGACAATTAATTTAAATATTGCTTAACTAAAGCATATTGATCGTTCTAGTTGAATTATTCGATTCCTATAGAGAAGTCGATTATTCATTCATAAGTCCTTGGTTCTTAACTTTGGAGTTTCAATTGAATTTGAATAAAATTCCAAAAATGTTTTAATGTTGAGAAGATATTAAATAGAGTGAGTTAAGTGCCTGATTGCGACTTTATCCTTGAGATTGCTCTCAAGAGTGAACTCATTCTGTACTTGATTTAGTTATTTAAACTTTTGCTAGAACATTGATTTTATGAATGCGATTTCATCTTCTTCCAGATCAATCTAAAACACATCAGATGCGTTTATAAATGGGACTAAACATCTCTCATCCTTTTGATTAAACAAGTAATCCTTCACTTTTTCATAATTTTTTATTACATCTTGGTCTAGATTAAGTCTTTAATGACGCTATAGAAACGTGCTAATGACTAATAGGCTAACACTTAATTGATTATCATCTGTTTTAAACCCAGTGATTTATTTAAAAACAGATTCAACTAATTGGACTAATTTTTATTGTTAAGGTTACTTAAAACTGTCGAATTTCAGTCCGTATTAAGCAAGGTGAGCTAAGCCATCAATTTTCTCTGTAACTGATAGTGAATCAGAAAAATTAGTTAGCTATTCTTGGAGCATTTGAACAAATTATTGCGGCCTTCTATCCTAGTAAATCTCACAGAGTAAAGTGTCTAGTGAGATCAAGTCAGTTATTTTATAGTGAGCAGCTTTAGGTTTAAAATTTTTCATCAGAATGTTAATGAACATATCTTATTTTTGGACTAATTATTCTTTTGAATCAATATTGATTAGCATGTTTCTCAGTAAATGCAAGATTCCCTCTGTCAATCCCTCTTTAATATGATCTATTTGAAATAATTAACTAATCGTATAGACTTACTATTTTAAAGCAAGTAGGTCAATGAATCGAATCCTTAACGATAGAATTTCATTGATGGGAAAATTTCTTGACAGTAAACATCACATATTTATAGAAATTCCTATTATGATAAAATTAACACCATTAAAATTTACATTTTTGTTACTGATATTAAGGACTCTAATGTTAAGATCATTTAGATTTTCTCTGTGATAGCTTAGGTTTTGAGCGAATAGTTTTACTTTGAACCTAGAGAAAGCAATACTTTATCGAGAGTATTTGAACATTGTCATGAACACTTGCGAATATATTCTCTAAATGGCTTCTGAAACTGGTGTTTTATTCTCTATTGATTTTTAAATAATATTTGCAAGTATTTGAAGGTGAATGTAGAAATTATTAGATTCATGCTCAATTAGATTGTCATTAGCTTGATTATCAAGGATTTAAAAAATCATATAAGAGACCTTCTCAATTTCATTTTTATGTTGAGGGAATTCATTAAGTATACAGGCTAATGAAATTAATTGATCGATTTAAAGATCTGTATTTTCCATTACAGTCTCAAGTCTTTTGTCTAGTTCATCCTTGACTAAGTGCTTTTGGCACTTATCTTGTGATTAGATAAAGAAATTGATAAGGTTTAGATTATCAGATAAAGATTGAGCTGCGAGAAGATCTACAAGTATTTAATTTGATAATTTCTTTTGATGACCACTTTATATTATTATCTTTAAGTAGCCTTCCAAATTTCTCATGATGCTATCGTTATCAGCTTTTTCGAGTATTCTTAAAATAGATGTGCTTCTTTGCTAAGATTATACGATTATGCTCAAGTATTAGTCTTGCAAATGCTTATTATCTGGTTTCTTGATTACCTAATTGATATAGTTTTGCATTTCAACGATGACTTTGCTCTATGACAACTTTATATCATTAAGTTTCATTGAAATGTCCAAAACATCTATAATCTGTTCTGCGGTAAGTAAGTGAGATACTTATTCGATATTGCTCTAGAACTAACTAAGGATTTATCTTTTATCTGCATAATTCAAAGCCTTAGAGAGAATGATTGGAGTTGAATCTGCAAGGATTTTCAATGTGCTATGCAAATTATCCTGCTTTTATAGCAATTTATGCAAGAGCTAAGTAAATACTGTCCCAATATGATGTGCATTTTTCTACTACTTGTAAATGCACATTCTTGTTAATGATTCCAATTGGTCTGCAATATCAATTGAATCCAAATACTTTTCAGAGATCTTAAAGTTCACATGATACTACACAGAGCCTTTTTCAAAAAGGTCGCAATTTTCAATCAAGAGCTCTATAATTTCTAATCTCTCAAGGTCTGTTTCCAAATTATCAATGAATTCTGAATTATTGACATGCTTTAGTAAAGTATCCATAAACAACGCATTCTCTCTGTCATTAATTCTAGACACTCTGGTCTTATACTCAATCATAAAATCATTAAGACCTAGTAATGTAGATTATTAATAATATTAAGTTTTAAGTTACCTTGAAAGGAGTTGATATCATATATGTAGTTGAGCATCTCATTTCTTTGACTCACATGCTAATCTAGTCTTTCTCCTTTATTATCAATAAAATCTTTAATCTTAAACAGTCTCTTGGTTGAAAACAATGATCTTTGAGTTTGAAGGATCCCTTGATGCAATATGAGCATTCTCTCTACTTATTTAAGGTTTTTTTCATTATTTCGTCTCTGCATTTCATATATCTTTTCATGATATTCCCGATATTATTTCCTAATTTATTCATTCATACCATATTCTAAAGGCATCGCATACTTATTCTCATAAACACAGAAATAAGGATGGCTAAATTTGTAAGAGATAGAAAGAGTAGAGGATAACTATCTTTAGAATTTCAAGTAATTTGAAAATTATCTTCTCTAAAACTGCATTTTTTATTACTAATTAATTAACCTTAATATATTATGATTATGAAATTGCTCAAAAATTTTGCTTAATGGGGTTTTGGGGTTTTGGGGTTTTGGGG